ACAAAGTTACTGCAAATTAGAAAATGGAAAAAGAATATTAGCATCCAAGAAGTTCTCCCTGCTTCCCATGCAACTGCTACGATAGTACACAATGTTAATGTCAGTACGATATAAGATAGTATTTGTCAGGAATTGTGTACTGTAGATGTGAACTAGAGCCGCCAAAATGCACATCAAATTCACATCTGAGATGGAATGAATGAGGATTAAAATTCCCATCCGTGTGTCAGTAGTTTGATTAAAACATTATGATGTACTTGAATGTTACATAGACATTGAATCACATAGCTTGCAAGTTTTCTACTACTTGCTGACAACTAAAAAAAGTAATGTGACGATTAAAATAGAGAATAAGCACTAACCTAAGTGTTAAGTTGACATCATAGGAGAAGTACAGACCAGAATTCCTCTCAGCAGCGCTTAGTAAAACAGAAAATTCAGCTTCCAACTTTTTCTGTAAAAGTTCAATTCAATGGTCAAGTTCAGGACAAAAAAAAAATTATGAGCCCTCTAAGAAATAAAGAACTACTATGCAAAGTTCTGAACCTGTTCAGCAGTAGAGCTATTCAAAGTATGATTACATGGAAGAATTTGCAAGGATGAGATCTTGAATATGGCATGACCCAAGTAAGTACCAACGCACTCACGTTCTGTAACTACTAGTAGATATGACCCTATCAAATGCACAAAAAGGTAAATTAAAATGGAGACCATGTTGAAAGTTTTCATCAGAAAGCACAGTCCTCATTGCCTATGGGTGAAGTACATATGAAAGATGGAGCGAGAAAGAAGAAAAAGAAAATTGACTTCCTTAAGTCATACAATAACAGGCATGTCTTTCCCTTTAAATGGTACAAGACTACAAGTTAACAGATCAAATGTTAGAGGGTACAAGAACAATGCAGGTATTTTTGTAATCTATTGAGTTCAGCAGTATGGAATTGCAAATCCAGTTTGTACTGTTCAGTCGTCTAACTAATTCATCATAATCCACTGGCATAAACTCCAGGACATCAGTCACATATTTGTATGTGATCTTGGCTGCATAACAACAGACACAAACAGCAAGCATGCATCAAAGTAAAATTTTGGGCCAGATAAACCACAAACGCACGTAACGGCTTAATAATAAGACTCCATAAGTAGCAAATGTGTATTAAATGGTGGATCTGGAGGGATTTAGGACCACCAAAAACATTGACGTATACAACTTAAGCCCGCAAAATCTCTTCCCCTTTATATCACACTTTCTTCCCCTTCATTTCTCTAAAACACATCTTATGTTACTAAGTTGTGTAGTCAGTGTCATTTGACAATTTGATTTATGTCTTGGTACGGTTAATTCGTTATTCACGCTTCTTCAATCCCACGTGTGCTAATTTAGGCATATTTTATAATTTACAACTCATATTCAAAATGAACTTATGTTTATTCTTTTACTAACTAATTGCCTATTTTATTAACTTAAGTCAATGTTCTCAACATGCAATTAACTTGATTATTCACGTAGCTTTTCATCTCACATTAGTAAACAAAGAAAATCCTCAACTCATAAAAATGTCATAATATGCAAAATATGGATGTTCCCCATATTCAAATCTTCAACTCATAAAAATCATTAATATGCAAAATATGGATGTTCCCAAATTTCTTAAAAATATTTTTCTAAAATTTCCAGATTTTCAATATTTATTTTGAAGTGATATATATTTTTTCTAAGTGGAACCTTCCATAAATGCAAAGCATATGCACCCAGTAAATGCAAACACCACATGCGACATAGTGTAAATTGTTTCACCCTGTCAAACTGCAGCCTTTTTCGTTGTTGTATGTATTTCATCTGGACGCGTGATTATTCGAGTCATAAACTAGTTGCAACCTTTTGATAAGATCCTGGAGCTGGACTTTCCACATTTTCTAAATGAACTCCATTCAACCAATTAACCAAACATCTTGCGTAGGAATTGTAAGTGCAACAGAAAAGCAGTAATGAGGACAAGAAATAGCAATATTTGATTAGTTGATATATTTTTAAATTTTGAATTTTGAATTTTGAATTTTGAAATTTGAAATTTAGTTTAATTTTAGTTGAGTGATTTGAGGGATTGTTGTTTGTTTCTATTTTTATTGCACGTTGTGTGCACGTAGTTTTTTTCATAAATAAGATTGTATGAGACTATTAAAAATCAATGAATTATTAAAAATTGAAATGAAATTTGAGTTAGCTTAATTTGGGTGTGAAACCTAGGCCTCGGGTGTGAAACCCTAGGCCAATACATGTTCCTCTTCTTCTAGCCGTCAAACATTTATCTTCTCCCGTTCATCTGTTCATCTCACAGCCTCGCTGCCCCCACCCCTTCTCTTCCACAAACTACTGATCTCTCCCTGCTCTCCATACCTTCGAGCAGTCGTCGTTCCCGCCTCCGTAAGCCGTCAGAATCATCTCAACAGTCGTTGATTTCCCTCCATCCTTCTCCACTCTTCGAGTCGCCATTTATTTCGTCTTGACGCCACTGCCGGCCTCGTCCCGATGCCCACCACCTGCATCGACCCGACGACTACCCGTGGGACATCGCACCGCCCTCATCCCGTCGTCGCGTCGTCATCAGTTCAACACTGTCGCACTCATCGTCATCGGATCTCCGCCTCATCATCGTCGTTCAGCTCACCGTTGTCGCCACACCACCTCCAGAGGTCTCTCACGTCGAGTCTGTCCAGACCGACGAAGGTTTCGTTTTCTTTTGTTCCTCTTTATTTTTCTGTCAATCTCATCTTGTTAGTTAATTGCATGAGTATATTACCTCTAAACTCTTATCATATATTCACTGTTTAAAGTATAATTATGAGTTGAGAGTAACTGAACATGTGATTGTCAAAACTTGATATTGATTGTAAAACTTGTACAATGATAATGAATATTACAATTAAATTGATCGAGATTGGAATTGTTCATAATTGTCGATGCAAATCTTATTAAAATCCATCTGTCACATTAACTGTTTTAGATTAAATTTTCTGCCTAAGATCATGAATTTTGGCGAAACGGTGCATTGTTCGATTTAGATCGCTGATTCTGATGGACCCCCTCCCCCGTTTCGCATCATTTTGGTATCAGAGTATGGTTCTAGGGTAGGATTTTTTTTTTGAGTCTTTTAATTGATAAAAAAATCATTCATCTCATTTAGTTGTTAGTACATGCCATTCGCCCATGTCTACCGTATCGATTAGAAAAATCAAGTGAGTCAACTAGTGAGTCAAGCATGTCAGGCAGTGTATAGTCCGAACTCCTTAAGAAATTCGGTGAACTAGCAACACGATTTGACGACACCAATGAAAGGCTTGCTAGGCTCGCAGAAGTGCGCGTTACAACTCCGTCACGAGGTCAAGGCTATGGATACCCACTGCAAGGTCATGGGTACATCGTTCATCGACCCCCACCTCAAATCGACCCCCACCTCAATTTGTGCCTGATCCACCAACCTTTGATGGTAAGCTCGATCCAGAAACTTTCTTTGACTAGCTGAAGAGCATGGATCGCTACTTTGATCGGTACGCCCTGACGGAATCCCAGAAAGTCAAGTTTGCCACAATGAAGCTCACCGGACCTGCCTGTCAATATTGGTACAACTTTGAAATGATAAGACATATTAGAGGTGAGTTACCAATTTTTACTTGACGAGAAATGGCCGACAAACTGAAACGAAAATATCTCCCGCCATCATTTATTCATAGATTGCTAGATAAATGGCATTGTCTTACTCAGGGAACCAAATCTGCAAAAGAATACGTTGCTCAATTTGATGACTTGTTTATTCGATGCAGCACCATTGAACCAGAGGCACCAATGAAAGTCTTATTAAAATTTAGAGCTGGATTAAGAAGCGACCTCCAAACCGAACTCTTTATTAGAGGAGTAAACACCCTTGAGAGAGCTTACGCCTTAGTTCAAGATTTAGATGAAACCAAATTACACCAATCTCATAGGGCTCGGAATTTTCAAACTTTCCTCCCAGTTTTCTCGTGCCAATACCTCTAGTCAGTCTCTGAGTCGATCTAACCCTAATCCTTCCCAGTCTAGAGTCAATACCAAGGGCCAGAAGTCAGAGAGATCTCTCTCCAAACTTAGCCTAATAATTCAGTGTTGCAATTATCAAGGATATGGGCACGTTGCATCCGTCTGTACAACTCCGTTCAGAGTTAGAATTAATAAGCCGTCCATAACAGAATCAAAATCAATTATTGAGGAAACCGTTAACCAGGCCGTAGATTTGATAGAATCTAACTCTGATAAGGAATTCAAGAATACTAAAATTGATAAACCATGCACTTTTGTTCCTTCTGAAACTACCCATCTGATCACGGAGTCCACTGATGTCATCGCTGAAGCTGTTTTTGAAATCGAAACTCTAACCCCTCCTGAACTAACTCCAGTGATTGAAAAAAATGTTGTTAATGCTCCCCACGGAGTCCTCCCGGACCAACATGACCCCCAGCATGTTCCTGATGTGGGTCCTAAAGCGATTCAATCAGATATCTGTATAAAAGTTGAAACCCAAATTGAGCATAGTAAAACAACTACCATATTTGATATCAAATCCCCATGCATTGTCCCGATAGTCACTCACACATACATTGATCCTTTTGGGAAAAATATAGTGATTAGAGATATAAGTCTGAGCACGAGTGTTTTCATTCTCTCCTGTTAAACACAACAAAACACTCCTCCGTCATACATGTGTTTGCATGTTCCTCACTATCACTATTAGGACAAGAAATTTGTTATGCACATCAACGAAGGAATACCTAATTATTCCATTTGATTAAGGACGTCATGCATTTTAGATACTTCGTTGAGTTTATATCTGTCATTGATCACATTGTTCGAGTCTGCATTTCATCATAATCATTTGAGTTGATTTACATCATTTTTATTTTGCATTGGTCATATATTGGAGAATCAGTGACCTAATTTAAATAATGCTGATATTTTGGTGGTTTGGACTTGTCCAATACAGTTCTTTGTAGCTGTTTAAGATTTGACATGATATTTATGAATTTTTTCAACTCTTGAACTAATTAATAGCAACATTTATTTTATCGATTTGGTCATAGTTCTATTTTCAATATTGAGTGATTAAACAATTCACAATGTTTTTAGCAGTCCACTGATATAAGCCTGACCCTAACCTATTGTTTCCGAGAGTTCTTTCACTTTACCCCACTTCTATATATATTCACCCATGTAGCAGTGAATTTTGATAATATTTTAGATGGTGAATTTACAATACAATCTAGCTAATGATTTGAGATGCAGAAAAATAACTAATGGCAGATTAAGATGCAGACAGATTATATTGAAGATGATAAGTTTTTGCAGCTAACTCGACCCGGAGAGAATAATGAGGACAAGAAATAGCAATATTTGATTAGTTAATATATTTTTGAAATTTAAAATTTAAAATTTGAAATTTAAAATTTAGTTTAATTTTAGTTGAGTGATTTGAGGGATTGTTGTTTGTTTCTATTTTTATTGCACGTTGTGTGCACGTAGTTTTTTTTATAAATAAGATTGTATGAGACTATTGAAAATTAATAAATTATTAAAAATTAAAATAAAATTTGAGTTGGCTTAATTTGGGTGTGAAACCTAGACCTCGAGTGTGAAACCCTAGGCCAATACATGTTCCTCTTCTTCTAACCGTCAAACATTTATCTTCTCCCGTTCATCTGTTCATCTCACAGCCTCGCTGCCCCCACCCCTTCTCTTCCACAAGCTACCGATCTCTCTCTGTTCTCCTTACCTTCGAGCAGCCGTCGTTCTCGCCTTCGTAAGCCGTCAGAACCACCTCAACAGTCGTTGATTTCCCTCCGTCCTCCTCCACTCTTCGAGCCGCCGTTTATTTCATCTTGACGCCGCTGCCGGCCTCGTCCCGACGCCCGCCACCTGCATCGACCCGACGACTACCCGTGGGACATCGCACCGCCCTCATCCCGTCGTCCCGACGCCCGCCACCTGCATCGACCCGACGACTACCCGTGGGACATCGCACCGCCCTCATCCCGTCGTCACGTCGTCATCAGTTCAACACCGTCGCACTCATCGTCATCGGATCTCCGCCTCATCATCGTCGTTCAGTTCACCGCTGTTGTTGCACCACCTCCAGAGGTCTCTCACGTCGAGTCTGTCCAAACCGACGAAGGTTTTGTTTTCTTTTGTTCCTCTTTATTTTTCTGTCAATCTCATTTTGTTAGTTAATTGCATGAGTATATTACCTCTAAACTCTTCTGTCAATCTCATTTTGTTAGTTAATTGCATGAGTATATTACCTCTAAACTCTTATCATATATTCACTGCTTAAAGTATAATTGTGAGTTGAGAGCTAAACTCTTATCATATATTCACTGCTTAAAGTATAATTGTGAGTTGAGAGTAACTGAACATGTGATTGTCAAAACTTAATATTGATTGTAAAACTTGTGCAATGATAATGAATATTGCAATTAAATTGATTGAGATTGGAATTGTTCATAATTATCGATGCAAATCTTATTAAAATCCATCTGTCACATTAACTGTTTTAGATTAAATTTCATGCCTAAGATCATGAATTTTGGCGAAACGGTGCGTTGTTCGATTTAGATCGCTGATTCCGATGGACCCCCTCCCCCGTTTCGCATCAAGCAGTCCCAAATATCCAGATCCAAGCCTCTATCAAGTCACAAAAATATCTCGCCTTTCTAATTTCTGGTGCTGGTTTGGGTGGGTAGATGTTGTGGTAGTGTGTGTGTGTGCAAGCCTTGGATGTTGGGAGACTGTTGTTAGTGCCAGTGTGTTCTCAAGCACTCCGTTCAATAATGAAGTTGATGCTACTAAACTCTGAACAGCCACACTAGTGCAGTTAGAAACAATTTTCTGAACTTATGAAATTGACCATACTCCACCAATTCCTTAAAAAGGAAAAATATCCCCACATAAATCACCAATTCAGAAAATATAATTGCTTATTTTAGGTGGTTTTAACTTCTACGTATTGTTATGAGAAAAAGAAGATAACATTTAGCCACATCATTCTTTGTCAGTAGGTGATCTGTACTAGTAAAAGAATAGATGGCCTGACATTGGATCATAATTAACATCTTATGCACAACCAACATCCCTGACATAGTAACTAATTCACATGCTGCACCACAGAGCACCATGAAACACAAATCCCCCATATTAAAAAAACACCCTTAGATCTTGAACATTTTCCGACTTCTTGTAACATATCCCTTGTTCTAACTTCTATAACATATTCAATTCAACATGTTAATAAGCAATATTGATTCCTTGGTAAATCATATAACCACAAACAAAGTTATATCTTCATCATGATTGTTCAATCCAAATAGTAGTGGTTGCAAGCTTTCAGATGCATCCTAGATCTGGATCAGGATTCGTATCTGTGTTCATGTACCAAAGATAAATCATACCACAGTAACTTGATGCATGAATCTGTGCAATGTTGATACTCTATAATACATTATAGAAATAAAAAAGGAGGAATAGAAGTGTCGTGATGTCCTAGCAAGAGATGTTCCCTAATCAATGTTACAAACGTTTGCTCTGCAATTCTTAAAAGGTGGGAGATGATTCAATAAAAGATACCACCATTGTTATTAAGAGTTCTCACATTTTTCTACATTTTCTTTTCGAGCCGTTAATGGTTATGTTCCTTCACACAATAATTACATCAAAGATAACAAATCCTGGTTCCCCTTCCATGCACCGCTTTGTTTTTCACCACTCACGATCGTCATCAATCCTAAACATTTATCTACAAAGACCAGTCAATGAAGCTAGGGTGATTGATGCAACCTTGTATATGCACCACAGAGACAAACAAAATAGATATTGAACCAAGAAGTCTGGAATACTTGCCTACTACAAGCCTAAGAATTCCAATCACGCCAAAGATAGTTTGAACTTTTGGAGACTGCGTAGAGCCACAATGTGGAAGCTCCCCTGTACAAGAAAAACCATACCATATTGAGTAAATTGTCTCACCTCAGTTGAAACATTTGGCATGTCATAAAAAAATAAAAGTAGCAAAAGAAAGTTGACTACCCAGAATCAATAAGTGATGGATTCGTTGATAACATTTGAAACATTTGTCATGTCATAAAAAAACTAGCAGAACATAGTTGACTGCCCAAAACTAACAAGTGGTAGAATCCTTTGATATCATAGAGTTCCAAACAAAATTTTACAATGACAAATTTTCAAAATAGACCCCTTTAGGAATTTATTATTAAAAAACAACCCATTTAAAAATTTTATTTGCCATTTTCGACCCAGTTGTGGCTGAAACTGGGTCGAAAATGGCAAATAAAGTTTGAAAACTTCACAGAATTTAAAATCCCATGAAGTTTAGTTCCTGATTAACCACGCTAATGAAGCTGCAAAAGTTTAAAAACTTCACGGGATTTAAAATCCCGTGAAGTTTAGTGTCTGATTAACCACGCTAAACTTCACAGGATTTTAAATCCCGTGAAGTTTTCAAACTTTATTTTTCATTTTCGACTTGGTTTCAGCCAGGTAGCTAAAACCAGGTCGAAATGGTAATTAAATTTCAAAGGGGTCGCTTTTTAAAAATAAATTACTAAAGGGGTCTATTTTAAAAATTTGTCCATTTTACAATATTAACAGAAAAGTTCATGACTGAACCCTAAGATTAGGAGCAGCTATGTCCATGTTCTTTCACAACATAAATAAAGGTAGCAGAAACAATACTAAGGGCATAAACTTTTAAGTGAAGAATCAAGTCCATGAGAGAACAAAGAGAACCTAATAAGCACTGCCACTATTTACAGAACCAGCTTCAAATAGGAAACCAACATATAATGAGATTTTTACAATTTGATGAAGAGATATCCCATTTAATATACTGAACATACGATATTTACTTTAGAATGGCATGGTTAACTTTTGGTGTTCCCTGTTCCTATTTAAATAAAGTCCATGGTTACTTATAACTTATATGACAGTTTGATCCGAGTTAATATCATCAAGGGTTAAAAGGATGATGCAAATGTGAATTCGGAATACTATGAGGGTACACAGGTAATTTCTTTTCTTTTCTTTTCTTTTCTGGACAGTGAATTGTAAAGCACTAAAGGTTTCAGGCTAAACTATCCAGAAGCAGGAAATCTGGAAGGTGATAAATCTGAATTAAACTTCAAAGATATGATTCTAGCTGCATGAAAACCATAACGATAGAGAATATGCATCACTGCTCCTGCAGTTTCATCTAGTTGCAACTCAGGAACTCTAAATTTCACTAATCCGAAAAAAAAAGTCTACAAATGAACAGGTATCACCATAGGATTTGGTATAGGGAATAGAATTCATTCCTAAGGGATAATTGTAGTCATAGAGAACTAAAATAACATTCTAAAGGAAGAACCTTTGTAGAGTATACAGATAAAAATGCATCCTGCTAGAGGTTTATACTCTAAAGAATGCAAATCATGGTTGGGGTTTTACATTCAGTCAAAAGAAAATTCAAAATATCACATGTTTGCAACAACGTCAATGATTTCCTGATCTATCTATAACCACCAAAGGAAAAGTAAACAACAAATAGAGGAGTTTTTCAGGCATCTATGCACGGTATACAATCATAAACCTAACTAGCATAAAGCAAATTAATGAAAGAAGAGCAGACCAATTAAGGTGAGTTTTCCGTCAGAACGATTGATTGACAAATATGAATCAGCAATGCCATTCACCGGTTCGACAATATACTTGTCAGCAAACTCCCACAACCTCATCCGTGTATAGAGTTTCTTATGAGAATTTAACTTCACATTATCGTCCATAGTTTGATATTCTGCAGAAAAAAATACATAACATAAACAAGATAATCAATCGATAAATGAACAAATGCGCTAATTTTATGATCTCAACAAACCACATACAGAAAGATTAAATTCAAAATATTTCCCGAGAGAGCAAGCTAAAACATGTATCAGAACAAGGTGACGTTGAAAGGAACTTAGCATGGAATATTCCCTGAGTTTACATATATACAACTAAAACACAACTCTAAAAGATCTTTTAACAGCATTAACTTTGAATTCAATTATATCTAACAAAGATCACGTAACAAAGCAACTGTCCTTTCCACGTCCTTTCGGTGCCTTACGGTGTAATTTAGTCCACCCACTATAAAACGACAATTTCAATTAGCCTACACAAAATCTGATCCACTGAGCTCTTCAGCAGATCAAACCGATCAAACCTCAACAGCTCTTCGGCAAATCAAGCAACAAATCTCAATCTACTCATGCAAGATCCCACACGTAAGCACAAATTTCCAACAAATTCTCAGTACTAGAACAAACCGATGCTTGATCCTAAACCATAACGTCAAAATTATCGGGGGCGGGGGGGGGCGGGGGGCGGGGATCTTAGCAGAAATTCAAGCGGCAGAAAGCGGCGCGATCGCTTCGTCGATCTCAACATCAGATCTCAAAAATACACAATTCACAGGTTTAAAAGCTGCAATTAAGATTCGAACAGGTTGCAGGTTGCCAGTACCGAAGCGGCGAAAACCTAGAAAAGGTCTGAGTAGTCGAGATCGGTTACCTTTTGGAGGAGGGCGCCGATCTGGAGACCGAGGCATGGGCGATGAGCGGTGGCGGAGGAGGAGAGGGGAGGGGAGGGGGTATATATAGGCGAGGGAAAGTGGAGGGGGAGATCGAGATGAAGGGATCTGAGGCACCGACTTTTGAGGAGGGGGAGGACAGCAGCGCAGGGCGAGGGCGAAACGATGGCCGGCATGCAACAGAAAACAGACCACTGGCTTTTTTTTTTAATTTATTATTATTATTTTATTGTAAATGGATCATAATGGTATAATAATAATAAATTACGGGGGAAACTGGTTTTTTTTTCTTTTTTAATTTAGAGAAAGCCAACATTCTGTAATGCGAGCAGCAGCATTTCGTCTTTGGTGCAAACGCTTAAGGTTCCGATATGACACTTGAATATAGATAAGGACGCTTTAATATCAATTAAGGAGACGGCCTAAAATTATATAATTGAGCTATATTGTAGATGATCTGTTCCGTTGAACTTGATCTACATATTCTAAAACCTCAACACACCAAGTTTGGGATGAACCCATCGTCGTTTGACTCTTCGTCGAGTCATATGAAAAATTCTATTTCGAAACCATTAAAATTGATACGAGTGGATGAAGGGTTAAACGACGACTGGTGTTGGAATTTTAGAATATGTAGATCAAGTTCAACGGAATGGATCATCCACAATATAGCTCAATCATGTGATTTTAGGTCGCGTCCTTAGATGATTATCTAAGGCGTCACCTTAGGAACACGTCTCCCACATAGATATGCCTTGTTAAAAAAATGCAAACTTATATCCACCAAAATCACGTGTCTACGTACGGACATACATGCGGATATAAAGCTGACATGAAAAAAAAACATAAAAGATTGAAGAAAATATAGTTCTCGTGATATAAAAGAGTTCATTAATATGTTTATTAAATTTGAAAAGTTGAGAATCACATCTCTATGTCATCAAACTTAACATCAAGTCCATTGCAATGATATGATTAACTTACATCCAGAGACTTCAAATATGGATCCAAATATTTCAAATACAGATCTAAGGCTATACCCAATACGGCTAAGGCTATACCCGAGGATACATATATATTGTTACACCCCTGAGACCAAAGTTAGTACCCTCATTTACCACTTACAGCAGATTGAACTCATAAAGTCTACTAGTACTTCAAGTTCCTGTATATGCCAAAGAAAGAGCTGACGCAGAATTTTGACTTGTGTTAGTTTCCATGCAAACTCTAATACTTTCTTTCTCCTTCAATATTCCATTGCACAAAAGCACACCCATAATGGTTTTCCTTGAGATGCATTTATTATCTGTAAAGAGCATCCAAACCATTATGCCTCTCAGCATGCATAAGCCGAACTGGAATTAAAGAGTACAGTTATAACAACGCGATCATAGGCATAAACTTCATCGCATTTAGGGCAACCTCCAACAGATCAAACTCAACTCACATGCAATGTACCTTATTACATTACTATAAGATTACAGTATCAAGGCTCCATTGTTCATTTGAAGTTTACTTATATCAATATAAGCTTTGTATTTAGACACTGGGACACTAAATTTTCTGTGCATAAACACTGACTGGCGAACATTTGGACTTGCATGAATGCTTCATCTACATGCTTGGCTTGAGATTGAGACGGGTTGCCAGCTTCTGCCCCAGAGACCTGTCAGCCTGCATCAAACAGTGAGTGATTTCTCAGCAATAATGAAAGTATCCCCTTAAAGCCTGTTTGTTCAGTAAATTTCAAATTCGAAGTCTTCCGTTAGAAAAATAGGTCCTGCGCTAAGAATATCGCCAGGACTGTGTCAAAAG